ATGATTTAAGAAAATAGTTAGAAAAAGAAACAACTTTTAAATATTTAATTTTTTTTATTTTAAAACTTTAATTTTATAGTTATTTTTTATATAAAAGTAATAATTATGAATAAATTTTGCAAAAAAAAAAAAAGTTTGAATAGTTAATTAAAAAAACTAAATATTAATACATAACTTTAAAAATATTTAATAATTTTTTTTAGCGTAAGAATGAAAATTAATATTTAATTTAGAAAATTGGAAAAATTATCTAAAATTATTTAGGTGATTTGAATGATAGATTTTAAATATTATACTTTTTTTTTTTCATATAACTACAAGAAATAATTTAAATGAAAAAAAGTGATCATATTAAAAAAAAAATTCGTTAATTTTTTATTTGAATACTATTATTATCAGGTTTCAATCCCTAGATGCGAAATTTGTAGGATTGTGTTTGGTCATCAATAGCTAGCATACAATTTTTGTCAAAAAAAATCATAACATAAATCTTTTAAATCATTGTGTAAATGCTAAGGCGTCCTCTTAAATAATATATTGTATGACCTAAATACAGTGAAAGGTGTGCAGGGGTCGCTACACCAACATCTAGGTGTAGTATTAAATAAAAAATAATTCTTCTATTATAGACATATGAGAGAAAAAAATTAGTCTATGAAGCTAATATTAGGATAAAATATTGGAATATGTGTACTCTTATAGGTAAATTAATAGAATTAGTAGATATAATGGTTCATAGGAAGTTAAATATCTTATGTATTCAAGAAATTAAATGGTTTAGAGAAAAAGCTAAGGAAATTAATAGCTTAGGTTTTAAACTTTGGTATTCATGTAGGAGTCACACTAGAAATAGTGTAGGTATAATTATAGATAAGAGTGTGAGAGATAATATTGTTACAATTAATATAATTGGACATAGAATTATGTTGCGAAAGATTGTTGTTGATTCTAAGATTTTTAATGTTGCAAGTGCTTATGCTCCTCAATTAAGTTTAGATTGTTGTTGATTCTAAGATTTATAATGTTATAAGTCAATACTATTACTTATAAGAATGGTTCTCATAAAACACAAATTGATTATTTTCTTATGAGAAAAGAGATTATTGGGAATGTCAGAAATTTTAATGTCATTTCAAGTGAAAATTTAAGTGCTCAACATCAACTATTAATTATGAATTTTAAGATAAGGAGTCACTACATGAAATGAGTTTATTTCCGATGGTCTAAAAACTATCAGAAAATATATAAAAGCCATTGATTTATAAATTTTTGATGGTTTAATAATGTATTCTGGAACGTACCTAAAATGTTTGTCGGTAATTATTTTAATGATGGGACTATTTACGACTTATATGTGTTGACGGTTTACCTACGAAACTAAATCATCACTATAGACTTTAATTTGAAATTGGACACGTGAGTGTCCCTTGTGACTCAGCGAGGATGTGTAAGTCACACTGCTTAAAGCCTGAGACTCCCCAAGTTTCATAAGAAGAGAGATCAAACCAAGTAAAATCACAACTTTGACTGTGGGAGCATGGAGACCTCGAAGCACACTGGTGCGGTGCTCCCATGTACGGAGTATAATAGGAGGCTGGTAAGACTTATTTTATGCATTAAATCTTATTTTACATTAAATTTATGCTAACAATTTCATTACACTGATAGACTCTAGAGAAAGGATGGGAGCTAATCGCTACAAAGTTAAATGTACGCACTCACAGAAGGCAGTCAGATCAGTCTTGAGTGAACAGTTGATCTAGGTGACCTAGATAATTCTCAAGATTAATTAGTGTAAATTTCAAAGAACTGTCAAAATTTATTTAGTCTCTAACTTTCATTAATCGTATTTTTTGTAGAAACCCTTCAAGAGGCTTGAGTAGCGCTGATCCTAGCAATCAAGCAGTGGTTCGAGCACATCTCACAATTCTTCTGAATACGACCTGTTGAGGGAGGCTGTCTGCGGGAAGAAGAAGGGCAGGGACTACTAGTTGAGGTTTCAGGCTCCTGTTAATGATGGTGCCTAACCTTTAACATATCTGGTGCATCTACCTCCATTGCACATGAGGAGGAGATTTGCAGCCAGGTTGGTGATGAGGTTGCTGCCCAGATCTCCACCCAATTTTCCACCCTAAGATCGAAGATGGAGCGGAAGATGAAATCAGAGATTGAAGCGGTGCTGCTTTCTGAACTGCAGAGAGGAAAGCAACAATTCAGGATGATGATGAGAAGGATGATGGTAAGGAGAGGACCGATGAGGATGAGTAGGGGATTTTTTATGTTTGTATATCTTAAATAATTTATTGATCCCGAATAATATTTCTTATTGGACAATAGTATATTTCATTTTGTTTAATGCAATCATTTTTCTTTTATTTTTGTATATGGTTTATGTGTTAATTAGTTTCATTAATGTGTTGTACTGTGCTGTATGGAAATTGTACTATTACGACTATATGTGTGCAAATTATAGTGTTGAAGGAGAAGTTTAATTTTTTTTCTAATGGTACAGATTTTTTATGGCTTAACGATGGTTTTACGACTCTGATTAATTTCCTACGGCTGATTGACGAACTATCTATCCAACAAGCGAGGTTTTCACAAAGTGTTGCACTTTTTTGAGGGATACAACCATCAATAATTATCTACGGTTAACTGATGCGTGGCCAACACTTTAACAATGGAAGCACGACACTTTCCGGCTGAAGTGCAACACTTTTCTGACACATATATGTTGGTTATATTACCAACGAACACTGACGGTTAAACACGGTATGGTTTTGAACTAACAAAGGCGGTTAATATTCTTCGGATATTCTTTGATTATATTACCGACGAACACTGACTGTTATAAGAATCATTGGTAAATCCATATATAATTATATTACCGGCAAGCGTTTTTACTTTATCGAATAAACCATAGCTTGACTTTCGGTAATTAATGTACCTACGGTTTTAATATTATCACCGGCGGTTTGTGACCGTCAGTAATAAACTAAACTCCTACGGTGGTATTCCCTATCAAGATCATTTCTATCTAGTTGAGCAATTAAATCATAGAAAATGTGATATTGTAGTATTATATTGGTCACATAAGGAAAGTTAAAGGACTATTGTGGCAGTTTACCTTCTTATATACTTTCACAGTATTTTTGCTTTCAAATGTTTTGCTGTTGAAGAGTTGAGCCATTTTTTTTCTCTTTTGAAGTATGTTAGTGTGTCTTATCTGACTTGATATTTGATGTGTTAAACTTTTAAGTTGTTGCATTCGGAGATCTGGAGGCTCTGCATAAATCACATCCTATTTTTTCTGCCACAATTTATAATCACTAATAAAACATCACCAAACGAAATATCATTGTTAAAAAACAATAATTACTCTCCCTTTCTTTCAATTTTACAATCAAGTCTGACACTTAAATTATTTGCACAGCTACAAGGGAGGAAGCATTTGCTTTTGAAGGTGAACTTGGTGTTTAAGGTACTTGATGTTTTCTGTCAAATTAGCAGCATCAGGCCTATATTGGAGCATAGATTAGAACTTCAATTGTTGGGGTGGCATGAGATTAATGTAGCACAAAGTTTGTTTTATCTTATATTTTATGTGTATGAAATTCCTGTCTTGATCTTCCATGCTTGTTCATGTAAGTTCTGTGATTTCTTAGATTGATACAACTAAAAAAGAACCATCTTATTTAGATGAAAATATGAATGTTATAAGTTATTATTCATTTAGTGTCAAAAGAACGAGCGCCGTCTTATGATTGTTTATTTTTTACTTATATCATATCTAAGAATTGGAGTATTGTTTTGATTCTAACAGGTGTACAAAGAGAAATAAAATAGAACACATTTAAAAGAAAAAATGTGTATTATATAGCACTTATAAGTGTTGCAATTTTTATAATTGTAGTATTAGTGATCGACTTCTTGTTGAGTTGATTCCTTCCCTATCGGTACCTAAACAGGCCGATTTGTGATTCGATTAGTTTCTTGATCATCTTTCCTGTTCAGTTATTCCAATGTTATCCAGTTTTCTAATTCGTTCACCTCTTGGGTTGGTCGCCCGATTGATGTCCAAAGTTTGATCTGTCCATCCTTAAGATTGTCTGACCTCTCGCTGATGACACTTGTCAGGTCCTTTTTTTGGGATGTCTTCATTCGTTCCGATTGAAAACACGTGTCTTGCTCGTAACTGTTCAATCCAATCAAGGGCATTTGGATTACACAATTATATTCCCTACATAAATATACATATATTAATCATCATGATCAAAAACATATCAAATTCGATAATTTAAAGTTAGGTGAGACAATGGCTGATCTATATCTTGATAATATTAATATAATAGCCCTTGGCTCTCTCAGTTCCACCTAACTTTCATTTTTAATAAGCCTTGCCCCAGTTTTCCATTTTTCCCCAACAACTGCTGAATGTAAACAACATTGTTAGTTAAACCAATCAATTGAAACAAAGTTGAATTAGGTCAGCTCTACACATAGCCTTATGGCAAATCACTTTCCATATATAATATTCTCCACATACAAACATAACATCAAGGCTTAAAATCAGCTTAAATATTACCTGTATTATTTTTTTTTTTCAAATATTTATATTATTACATCATTATTATATTATTTAAATTATATTTAAAAATTTAAGCATTTATTACATTATCTAATAGAAATTGTTTGGAATCATAAAAATTAATTAGTTGTGACTAGAAATTCAGCTTTTTAAATTTGATGATTATAACTTTGTTTAAAATAATTAAGTCGAGATATAGGGTCCGTTTGGGGCAGCTTGCTTATCTTGAAATGCGGCCCGCAGGTCCACTGCGGGGTTCGACCCGTGGCCTGCGTTTTTCGAATAAGCGGTCAAAATGTGCAAACCAAACGTTACTACGAATTTTTCAAAAATGTCTTCGCACTTATAAACTGACACAAACAGGCCCATAGTTTTAGAGATTTCAACATTTCGTAATTCTTATATCTTTAAGTACCTGTGCATTAGCTCCCCTCGTAAATATACTCCACGAGAGAAGAGAGAGAGAGAGAGAGAGAGAGAGATAGATGGCAACGCTTAGGGTACCTTCTCCGGTTCCTTCTCCAGTTGAAGACGCTGAGCAGCTCAGGAAGGCCTGCCAAGGTTCATCAAACATCTCCTCCTATATTTTTCACACACAAAATATACATATATAAGAGATGGATTTCTTATGAGGATAATTATAATTCTCATCTTTTTATGACTAAATTTTGTTTTTTTAACTTGCTTTTCTGCTTAGTTATGCATATCATTCAGGTCTAGTCTTTTTTCTTTTTTCTGATGAGTTTCTGCAGTCGTGCTTTTCCATGCCATGGATATATTCATCAAAGTGCCCAGAAAACTCTCTCTCTCTCTATCTCTTACATATATATATATATAATATTTTTACCGATGGTAAAAAGTTCTATTTTTGCCTTTTTCAAGAGGCTACACATTTTAACGCATGGAAACACGAGAAATTTGCATACATTAGAGAGGTTATTCAGAGGGTATTGGGGGGTTATAACCGTGTTATATCCCCTGCAACTTATCTGTACTTTCTTGTAAGTTCTGCACTTATGTTTTCATATATTTGTAGGTTACATGCAGGTTACAGGGGATATAACCCCTCAATACCCTCTGAATAACCTCTCTGACGTACGCGCCTTACATACGCAAAATTTTCTCCATGAAAACAGCCGGGACACCTAATTTCTTCTGCTGTTGCTTTAACATAGACTTGAATATTGGCACCATAAAAAAAATATACAGATACATCTAAAATATAGAAAAAATTGTTAGAGATGTTGGAATTATAGTATTTTTTTTAATTGATTTGAACAATGTTTACGTTATTATATATAATCCACGATCAAATACGAACAACATATTTTTTTGATAGAGCTATAAACAAATTTTCATACAATATAGTCTAGAACTTATCCATGATCTGGATTTACCTCTATTTATTATAGGATGGGGCACCGATGAGAAGAAAGTCATTAACATACTAGGACATAGAGATGCAGCTCATAGGCAACAAATCCAGCAGTCTTATGAAGAACTCTATAAAGAGAAGCTCTCAAAGAGACTTGAATCTGAACTCAAGGGGCATTTTGAGGTATTATATATGCACACACTATTAATTAGCTCCTTTTTCAATAATTTATTGAGCTATGCATATATTAAAAAAGAGAGTTTACCATTTAAATCCTATGTATTTACATATCTAACAATAAAACTCTATTTTTTTATATTTATGCCACTAATATATTTAAAATCATATAAAAGTACGGCTAAAAAGTAAAAGACACATTTTTTATAAAGACACATTTTTTTATGTATATACACATAAGGGCGTAAACAAGCCGAACACGAGCGAGCCCAGACTCAGCTTGTGTTCTGCTCGTTTATATTTAGAGCTCAGAGCTCAAAAAGTGTGTTAGAGCTCAAAAAGTGTGTTTGTGTTCTACTATTTTGCTTAGCGAGCCGAACATGAGTTGTTCACGAATAAATAGTCAGTTTGATAACCCTAATCACGTAGTCATAAGATGTAAAGGGTTGGGGCAATATTTAAAAATTATTTTTTATATTAAAACATCATTTAAATTTTATTTAATACTTCTTATTCTATTTTTTTAATTAATACTTTTAATTAATTATGAATCTTTGTAGCTTTATAATCAATTAAATTGTTTAAAAATACTACTAATCAATATATATATATATATATGATGAGTAGTATTTCGAGTCAAAATGAATTGAACACGAACGAACAATTCTTTTTTCATTTTCGGCTCGTTAACTTAGCGAACGAGCCGAACACGAGCTGTTCGAGAACAACGAGCCATTTTGACAGCCCTATGTATCTTATATACACACACATACATGCAAAAAATTAAAGTTTATATGTAAGATATGTAAATACATGAGAATTAAGTGGTATAATGTAAATCTTCCTACTTTTTATCATGAAATTATTCATTTTTTGCTGCAGAAAGCAGTGTACCGTTGGATGTTCAGTCCTCTGGATAGAGAAGCAGTCCTAGCTAAAATTGCTTTGACAAAAGGATTAGATTATAGAGTGATCATAGAAACCTCTTGCATAAATTCAACAAACCATTTTTTAGCAGTGAAACAAACCTATCAGAATCATTACAAACATTCCTTGGAGGAAGATGTTGCCTCCAACAGCCATGGAGATTTGAGAAAGGCATGATATAATAGTGCAAAATATTGTTTTTTTTTTAAATAATTTGTTTAATGTCCACAAATAATATCATGAATTTATTTTGCAGCTTTTGGTTGGTTTGGTGGGCACATATAGATATGAAGGCGATGAAGTTGATGTTCGACTAGCGCATTCTGAAGCAGACATTCTTCATGATGCCATCAATAAGAAATCATTCAATCATGATGAGGTTATAAGAATCGTGACAACAAGGAGCAAAGCGCAACTAAATGCAACTTTCAACAAGTACAAAGATGAGCATGGAGTTTCAATCCTAAAGGTATTAAACTATATTTATATATGATGTTAAGGGTTTGTTTGTGACAGTCTATTTAGTGCAGTGACATTTTGAAAACGCAGTTGGCCTGTTTGGGTAAACTGCGTTTTGGCAGCTCATGCGTTTTAAAAAGCTGAAAACAGCGTTTTCACACTGCACCACCTATCTAGGTGCGGTGCGGTGCGGTGACAGTTTTCTGTCAGCGGTCTGACTTTTCCAAAAAAATAAAAGTTTGTAATAGCAGTCGCACCTAACTTATCAACAGATTATTCAATAAGTTGCAGCTGCCCCAAACAGATCCTAAAACTTTCATCTATATTTATCAATCACTAATTTTCTTGTGATAAATATGTATTTAGGACTTAAAAACAGAGAATCAAGATGATCTAGCTTCAGCACTTCGAACCGCGATTCGGTGCATCATTTCTCCTCACAAGTACTATGAGAAGGTATTGACCAAAACCTTTTTTATTAAAGTTATTAGAATTATTGTGTTATCATATCAATATTATGATATATGTTCGATATTTATAATAGTAATATATAATTTAGTTTTCTTTGGACAATATAGCCATGTTAGAAGTTCTTAAGTCAGTTTGTGATGAAATTAAAATGAGCCACTTGCAGCTGCTAAGAACGGTGCTGAACAAATCAGAGACGGATGAAGATACACTGACTCGAGTGATTGTGACACGTGCGGAGAAAGACTTGAAAGAGATCATGGATTTATTTGAAAATAGGACCAATGTAAGTCTGGAACAAGCCATAACCAAGCACATTCATGGGCACTACAAGCACTTTCTCTTGGCATTAGTTGGAAAATGATTTGGAATTATGGAATATAGTTGAAGAGCTATGTAGTTTTTCTGGCTATGTCGATGGGGAGGTCTGTTGAGTTTTCTATTTAAGCTTGCTGTTAGTTCAAGTTTTTGCTTGTGAGCAGTGCTGTCATGGTTGTAATAAGGAAAAGCTTTTGCGTGGTCGGTAAAAGCTAGAATTTCTGAAATGAAACTTTAATTTATGATTTTGTTGAAAGAACTGCAGTCCTTGTATATTTGTTTTAATTTGAGATTAATTTTTTGGTTTAGGAGAATTACCGATTTGTGGCCTTCTATGGAATTGGCTGAAGTAATTTAATGCAAACGTGTGTGTGTGTGTGTGTGTGTGTGTGTGTGTGTGTGTGTGTGTGTGTGTGTGTGTGTGTGTGTGTGTGTGTGTGTGTGTGTGTGTGTGTGTGTGTGTGTGTGTGTGTGTGTGTGTGTGTGTGTGTGTGTGTGTGTGTGTGTGTGTGAGTGTGTGTGTGTGTGTGTATTGGATGGAAATTTGTCCGCTAAACCATGCCCAAGGAATGGAGCATGAGACCGATAGAAAAAGAACGAGGAAGGGACAAAGAGAGAGAGAGAGAGGGAGAGGAAGAGGAAGACGTGGCCCCTTGAGGGCAAATCGGGGTGTTTTGGCTGTGACTTTCAAAATGCTCGGTTTCTAATTTAATTTTTATATCTTCTCTTTTGTCACAGTTATGAACGCAAGTATACGTATCACTCAAGTAATACGGGACTCTAGTGGAGTCCTGACTATCGATCCCATAGGGAATACAACGGAACTTTAAAATACAAACTGTAGTGCAACAAGCCAATATCCAATTCACAATGCGCATACTGAAAATATTAAGTCATTAATAGTATAAAGACGATTAAATATTTAAGTTCATTAAAGTACTAACTAAGCTTCTAAGCAAGTTATCTAACGCCAAATTAAGTTTTTGTGTTGCAAGTTTCAAATATGGATAAAACATCCTCCACCTTACAATGATGCTGTGGTGAAAGAAAGATAAAGATTAGTAGGATATTGTTTTGTGCCAAATAGAAGCATTCTTATTATTTACTGTCTTTCGAGTGCTGTAAAGAATATTGACTAATCATAGGTTTATCTCCTAAATCAATAGCTAGGCTAGGAGGATACCGGCTGTCACTCCAGAGCTCCCACTTCCCTTCCCCTAAAGACTAGCTCTTGCTTTAGTTTACAAACACTATGATCAAATTGGGGATTTTAGTCTATCACTCCAAAATCTTCAATTGCACGCCCAAAAAAATATATTTTTCTATTTATTAGCATTCAACCCCCATGAACTTTACAATCCATGAGATTTGAATATGATCTTCACTATGGTTATAGAGTACATAGCTTTCTTGGATCATATGATTTACAACAAATCTTAACAATTCAATTGGCCAGATCAAAAAATAAATGAATTACTAAGTGTAAAATTATCACAACATTTCGGCATGAATTCAACACAACCAATCTAAATCATCACATCACCACATCTCATTGCAAGGAGAAAGACAAAGAAATCTACTCATAACTCATGAGGAAGATACAATAAAAGGAAGATACCTCATGAGGAAGATACAATAAAAAAAAGATTTTATATTTAAAAGCAACGTCATACAACCATAAGAAGTAACTACAACTTATCTCAAGTTCTTCCCCAAGCTAATCCCTTGAAGTTCCTTTGAATTCTCATCTCTCTTTACAGCTCGACATAATTCTTTCTTTAGATAAATAAGTGAGAAGAAATCTCTGACTTTCCTTCTCCTCATACACTCCTTAGAGAGGAATCCAACACAAACCCTAACTCTCTCACACTCTCCAAACAAGATGAAACACTCTCCACTACACTCACAGCACCAAATTCGGGCACCAGAAGCAGTTTAAATTTGTTTATAACGAATTAGCCAAGAAATTTCTCAAGCACCCCTTCAAAGTCCGTCCAAATACATTGAATTTGGGCATAAGTCAGCTTCGGGCGCCACTGACGCTCAATTATTCAAATCATTCCATACTCTCTAGAAATGGGAGCCGTCGGCACCAATAGGCAGTTTTGCCCACTTTATCTCTTTTGCTCCAAATTCTTTTTTTTTTTTCTTCCTTTGGCTCCAAACACATAAAATCATCAAGCCCTCAATAAAACATGAAAAATATCTTCTTTTAAAGTGTAATATCACCAAAAATGAGTAAAAATACATATAAGAAATCCAACATATTTTTGGTGTGTCATGTTCCCAAGCTCCCGGACCCATTTTATTCCAGAAAAATAGAGATTATAGTAGGGGAGCCCAAAAGCTCATTTACATGAAAGGGCTTCACTATTTATAGATGATAGGAGGGAAAAAAAGTAAATTGCAAAATTACCCTTATTTTAAAATGGTATTACAATATATTTTTTTATTTTTTTTGTGTTGGTGTATTCTGTTGAGCACTTCATCGACTGCTGGATCAGTTCTTTTGGGATATTACTATCGAGGGGAGAAGTCGGGTTCCGGTTGTCGGTCGGAGGAAAAAGTTCTCTGATAGGGAGAGAAATTATCCTTCGGGATCGAGGGGGGAAGGGGGGGAGAGTCCTCCGTCAGAGGAAAAAGTCCTCTGTTTGAGGAAAGGTCAACCGAGGGTAGGAAATTCGATGAGAGCAGACTGCAGATTGCCTCAAGATCTATGCAAATTATTCCTGAGTATACAATACACACACACACATGATAAATGTGTCAACACGAATCTCAAAGAGATCAAACAACCATGAGATAGAGGATGTGGCGGGTGAGGGCCTATTAGGCGGAACCCAAGGGCCCGCTTTTGACCGCCCAACTCATGCTAGCTAGGTGGCACTCAACCCTCATATCAAATGATAACCAACGACATGTTTAAAAGTTATCTTGATAGAATTTCCCGTGACGGATTCAGCGGGATTCATCACACGGACCTGATGGATAATAACAACCGCCTAAACATCTGACCAACGACCCATACTATTCAAATCACCCTACAAACAACGGTCGCCCAGGTTATGCACCAGGCTAAATGCCTCTTTAAGGTCTTGGTCTTATTAATGTCTATTACCTAAAATAACCTCTCATCCCTATTTAATTAGAAGCAATTTTGCGGTCCCCTTATTTATAAAGAGGGGGCTCATTTGGTTGCATAACATTATTATTTATTACTATTCTCTCTCTATTTTTTCCTTTTCTAAGGTGTTATATTACTTGAGTGTCTCGAACAATTTCAGATTTAACATTCTAAAAGATGAGGTGAATATGGAGTCACGTCGTCATCAAAAAGAGGAGCACAGTAGCAAGAAGAAAACAACCAGAGTAGTGAACATAAAAATGCACCAGTGAGTACGTGGAGGGTTTTGTGTAACAAGAGATGCAGGAGTTGTGAACCAGATAATGAGACAGATTGTGGAGGTCCTTAGAGTTGTTATGACTTAAGGAGAAGAACGTGTTTCTTGAGGGTATAACCTCCTTGAGAAGAATCACGGGCACACAATGATAAGTGATAGAACTATGCCCCAAATAGTGTGGGAGACTCGCAATATCAGGATTGTGTTGGATATGTACTAATAGAGTGGCAACGCTTTAGGTGCAATGAGGCCTCACACCAATTGGAGAACTCATTATCCCTTCAGATCTCATGAGTCGAGCCCCCTGTAAGAATTTTAAACTCCTGACATTAGAATCCTACAAGGGTCAATCAGATCCTAAAGACCACCTCATGTTGTTTTGAATCATCAATGTGTCTTTTTATAGTTTCTTACACATTTAAATGCCATCTATTTTTCACCGCCCTAAAACTGTCACCTCGTGGTTCAATTCATTGTCATTCAGAGTGATTGCTTGCTTTTCTAACTTTATAAGACTCTTCTTAGTGCAGTTTGCAAGCTCCCAGAGGCCTAAGAAGAGTGTACAAGCCCTGTGACAGATTAAATTAGAGGTAAATGAAAGTCATTGTTTGTATATTACATGTGTGGTTCCAAAGGAAAATGTTGGAAGTTGAGGACTTGTGACCCGATATGTCACAAGCTGCCACTACTCAAGGCCTAAGAGGTGAGAGGTACCTGTTTGACCTCCCCAAATCTTGTTCAAACTATTGGAGATGACCAACAAGTACATTAATGCATAGGAGAACACCATCAAACCCAAATCATCATATCACAACCCCCAAAAGAGACCCTCATAGAATAATGGATGGAAGCCAAAGGAAAACTCATGACTGCCCATCGTCTTTGATACGAGGATGGGCGAGCCACCTCACGATGACATAGGAACCACCAACAGGGAACCCTGACCAACGATCGACCGATGAAGGGTAGGGCTTTCCTCCAAGAAACAAAGAAGTACTACAAATATCATAGTGATCACAATCATGACACCGAGGAGTGTAGACACCTCTAGAGCCTGGTCAAGGAGTTAATCAGGAATAGGAAGTTAAAAGAGTTTGTGGTGCCTAGGGGCCATGATGTAGAGGCACAAAAAGGCCCTAGTTGTAAAAGTCTGGCCCAGATGAGCCTATTTTGGAAAATGGTATTCATATTGTCAGAATAGTTCCAGTTTTCTTCAGAGGAGGGTAGTCATCCCTACAAGCTTCCTAGAAGAGATCCCAATCAAGGGAAATGTGAACCATCACTTCCATGCAAAAAAGAGGAAATTTACCCAAAATTAAATTCACTGATGTATACTTACCTCCTAGGGCGAGCACTTACAATGATGTTATCATCGTAACCTCAATAATCAACAATTTTCAAGTTGAAAGCATCCTGATTGAAATTAGGAGTTCAATGAATATATTGTTGTTGACCTCACTTTTGTGAGACATTTTTATCATTATAGAAGCCTGGGATTTATCCTTACGATTTTCTAATGACCTTCTTAGATGCATAGAGATGGGACCAACACCCACATAAAACTTCAAACCTATTCTATATTTGCTTAAGGTTTTCATACGTTAAGCCCAAATCCTCGATTATTAGTTGAGATGATTAGGGTCTAAAACAATAAAGCTTAAGTAGAATTCCTACAAGTGGAGAATGCCTTAAGCTTCTCATAGAGCCTAGAATCATAGGAATCCTTATGATAACCTATTGACCACCCTCAAAACCCTCTTTGATCTAGAAGACACCCATTCGACATGAGGCTAGTTATAAGCTAGAGAGGGGTTCATCCTTTTTACTAAAACCCTGAACTAATTTAAGAAA